TAAGTTTGTAAGCCGCTTACTCCGTATAAGATTTTCTTGCTCTCACCATACACAGTTACATTGTAATTACAAGCTTAACCTAAAGGGGAAAGGAAGAAAAACAACAGTATATCACACTCCCTTCGGACCTAAATAATAGGCCACATTTAAGGCCTTCTTAAATTAACAGACCACATGTATTAGCCTGATGAAATTTTCATAATCCTAATGTAACATTAATTCATTAACCCAAGCTTTCCCAGCACTAGCACCTACCTGCATGGAGGTTTTACCAAATCCAAGCCCTGATCTCACGCCAAAAAGGCTTAGTGGCTTGCAATACCAAATTTTCAATCTCAAATCTGTCGAATCCATTAAGCGATGGGTCACTCATCTCTGAGAAAGTCACAGCATAGATTCCTGGAACACGACTTTAGCAGCTTTGTATACTGCACCTGCATCATCTGTATTAGCAGAAATACACCAATTACAGAGATATACATCAACGTTTTCATAAAGGCACAATAATAATCCACGCAACTGAAAAATAGAAGGCATAAAATCAGTGTCAGATCATCATCATCTATGATTTTCCTCAAAACCTTCAAGATGCAAAGTATACAAGAGAGCTTGTGTTTAGTTAATTTGGTCATGTAAGAATGTTCATTTGAAACACTGATCCTATGACAGTATGACTACTGATAAAAAGATCATACTTTCCTCATAAAATCAGAAAATGTTGGCCCACACGTGAAGCCATTGTAATATGTTACTAAGTTTCAGCTTTAATGTCAAGAACAAGCTTGAAAGACGAAATCAGAATGTAACCTAGTCATTTAAAACATTAATGTCGAGACCAAGCTTAAAAAAACAAAGGTCAAATATAACATGAAAACCCCATCCATCTTAAAAAGTGGAACTAGGGGGAAAAGAAGAAAAATTCTTACACCAATATTTCTAGGATCTGAGAGAAAAGTTGCAAATTTTTATCTTTATATTTCTGACTTCATGCTTGACAAATCTAAAATTGGTGAGTAAAAAAAGAAAGAAGCGGTGAGAGGGACCCCCAGACTTCCTCTATATGTCACTTCACCAAAACAGAAAAATTGAGTTCAGGGTGGTGGGAGTTAGATGGGCAGGTTAGCTCGTCAGTGGCTCGTACCTGCAACTGCTGTTAAATTATAGATGTCGGGCACATTGGCTTTCACTTCAATGGCTACCTTAGCAGCAGCAACACCAACAGCTACACTCTGCATGACATCCAAACCTGCACATAATGATGCAAGCACCCCACCAACTAAACAATCTCCAGCACCACTAACTCTCCCAACTGTTGCAGGAAGTGCAGGAAAATGCATTGCAAATAGCCGAGAACCTCCTTTATAAGGCGTAGAGCAAAAATATTGATGTGTAGAGCATCTACTGTTCACCATATCAAATATTTCTCTCTTTCCATTAAAAACTTTTGTGCTCTTCAAGCATTCTCTTAAATCTGAAGGCCCACTTCCAGAACATAGGAATGCACCATCAGGTCCAAGCGTCACTAGCACATACTTGATACCTTTTTGCAGCAAAACTATAATTGCAGGTTTCAGCTCCTTGAACAAGGACTCTACGGAAGTTTTGTTTTGATCCCTCTGGATAGGGCTAAATCGATTTTCATTAGACAAAGAATTTGCCATCGCAACTAGTTCATGCTCATTGGGAGAAGCAAAAGTAATCTGTAAAAAGAATTAAGCTGTTCAAATCAAGGAACTAGAACACAAACGTATATAATTTGTAAGACAGCTAATTACCATGGGACCAAATTCTAGTTATAATCAAAGAATAAACTCAATTATTACAAAGATTGAAGAAGCAATGTAAGAAAAAGACATTCCTTGGCAGAGGGTAGCATGACAGAGAATTATAACACCTTTTAATTAGTGAGCACCTCTTGTTCCAGTAGTTTATTGATTTGAGAAGCATCATTTCAAAGTTAGATGACTTAGATCTAGAGTTTTGATGTCTACCACTTTTTTAATCCAGCAGTATATTTGTATCTGGTTCAAATTCCAAATCATACAACATCCAAATTCAATGTCAACTAACTGTATTAGAGCAAAGATATTATATACTCACATAGTTGGCAATCGCAGCAACTCTTTTTGATTTTGCAACTGAAACAGGCTCAAACCATACTGGAACATCAAAAGCAGCAGCCACTGAAATGTAGAGTTTGCATAAGCTTGAGGAAAATAAGATGCTGAAACAACCATCGAGGTAAATCATGCTAAAGAAGGGGCTAGGGAGGTCAGGATGTACATTGCCTTAACCTTAAGCTGTCAAGAATAAAAAATTAGAAAAGAAAAACGGAAAAGAAACAAAATTTACAAAGAAAAATCTCCGCAAATGAAGAACAGAGGAACCCATGTAAACTTGGAAGCATCTCTACTATCTCAGCAAGTAACAAACATAAGACATCATTAAAATTAATAATTCCAGATTAGAGGATAATCTGTAATTTGGATTTCTGATCAGAGGACAGCTTATCCTCTTTCTCAGTCCTCATTATTCAGTTGATCATATATCATATTTCTTATCAAAAAAATTACATAAAAAAGATAATTCCTCCCATATCCATCCCAATTCAAATGCCTAAGTTCCACAGATGATTGTCAGTAACTAATAGCCTCAAGAAAAACACCAGACATATACATCAAATATTTCTCTACAAGGAATGTGACCGTTTAAATAGACATCCTAAACTAAAGAGAAGGAAATTTAAGAAAACAGAGAAAATATGTGACACACTAAAATGCAGGTTGGTTGCAAAAAGTAGAATGAGAAAGAATATCTTCCTCAGCAATACCAATGAATAGGCCAGGACACGAGAGAATATGTTTAGTAACGACCAAGTCTCAGTTTGATATGTGTAACGAGGAAATACAAAATTTAGAAGCTCACTACCCTGCGAGATGCAAAGGAGAAAGGTAGACTTACTTCTACAAGAAGCCTCCAGAGCGTCAGTGTTCAAATTAGCATCAACCATCATCAAGGGAGCAGAATGTACAATGGACTTGAATTGCTGGATCCACTGAGGAGTAACACATCTTTCCTGAATTTTATGCATTAAGACACTATAGCCCTTAAGTCCCTTGATGTCAGAAAATTGTTAAACATGTAACTTAGCAAAGCCATGTCAGAACAGGACATACACATATCAGGGTACAAATGATGAATACTCTCACTCACAATTGATTCCACACTAGCAACACCTGATGTCAAATCTCCATTAACGTCGAACATGTTGCATACAGAAGCAGTCGTAATGTCCGGGCCTCGTTGTATACCTATTCAATGTGATCATACATATTACAAGGGGTCAAGGTATGATTTTCTTTCTATCCTTTATAGCATTAGTTGGAAACTAGGAATTAAAAAAAAAATACATTCTATGGAGTAATATCTAACTTAGGTTTCCAAGGATGCTTCTAGGTGATGTTGATTAGTGGTAGTGCCCAATGGCCTTGAGACAGGCAGGTAGTAAAATTATCTTAAGAGTGTTGAATACCAAGTGGCTTTGCTACTTTCTATAGTAATCAAAAATTCAAATGTATCGCAAGAATTACCCTCTACTTATTTCAGCAAATAAATTTCCAAACAAGGGCCAAGAGAAAGGCTTTTATTAAAATAAAAAAACCCTGCCCATGACAACAGCCTCATGAGACTATGAAAGGCATTAGTATCATCTATAATACTAAGATAAGGTACATACTTGATGCTTAGAATCTTACCTTCTGTTGGTAACCCTGCAGATCTCCATTGTTCCAACAAGAAGTCTCCTGTTTAGCAAACAATGTCATTTTTGGCATAATCTGACATATAGATTCTATAAGAACTTGATTAATCTATATGATAAATCATGACCCATTAACACACTAACAAGCTATAATCTAGCTTTTTGACAAGCAGAAGTGGAATAGGAACTAAGAACTAAATTTTGTGTTCATTAAAGATAATTAGACAGCATATATGGTCATTTATTGAGAGATTTGGTAGAGCCAAAATTTTGTAGAAACTTTGGCCAAAATTTAGCGTAATGCAAGAAATGCTATCAGATTATAGCACAATTGAAATCATCAAGATGCAACATCATACAAATAGAAAAATCACCTGCCAGGTCACATCCCAGAGCACTGATCATGAACGATTCTGTTCCGAGCTTTAGCAGGCACTCGGCAATATTTCTTGCTACACCTCCAAGCATAAATTCAACCTGCACAGAATTTAAAATATACTTAAGAACCTGCCTTTCTTTCATTTCATTGATTTCAATTCAACCCAACTTCAGAAAACACAAATAAGTCCACTTACTAAAAAGAAAAATAGTAGGCATTGATTTAGACTAAGATTGGACAACAGTTTTTCTTAATTTTCGATTCTACTAATCGAGGTGCTTGTTTCTTGATACTTCATATTAAGCAAAATTAATTACCAACATATATCTCAAAAAAAAAAAAAAAAAAAAATAACAACAACAACAAATAATACAATCCAGCCTTTGCAATGAAGTTCAGCTATTAAAATTCATACAATCAATTTGTTTTAAGATTCAGCAAACACATCAGCCTAAGCATGATTATACATTGTACAAACTAAAATTCATTACAAATAAATATCACCCAAATCATCCAAAACTGAAAAAGACAAACAAGGGATTTATCATCATTATACTTTATAGCCCAATCAATCATCTCAACCCCACCAAATTAAAGCCTGAAAAATGTGGCAACTGAGGCAATAATTATCACAAATTTCTGACAAAAGTAAAGTATAATATTCATATATTACATACCTCAAAAACCCAATTCCATAATTATAGCTTAAATAATAAATTAAAAAAGAAAAAAAAAAAAAAAAAAAAGCAAACCTTGCCAGGAGTGGTAGTTTTGGCAGTAGCAGGAATTGAAGCAGTAGCATGAATATCAAACACCATCCCTCCGATTATAACTGCCATTGCCTTTGATTTCTTCATCTCTTTCTCCCCCTTCTACAGTTGAGAGTACTCTTTAGTCCCTTCTGAAATATTTTATACACACCGATTATATCGTGCACCCAACTAATTGAGCGGATTGGATCTGCGGGTCGATAAAAAATCAAAAAGAGAAAATATGAGAAGTATATAATTGTCTCCATTTTATTGAATGAAAAGACAAATTTAACCCTTTGATATACATGTATTTACCCAATACTGAATTATTAGTTATTACTGATTAATGCAAAATCAATTTCTATCATAGACAAAATTATCAGTCACCAGCAACACCAAACTCCAGTTGTCTGCAGCATCAACGGTAAGTTTTTATTTTCTTCTATTAATTACGCATGATCCACGATTAATCGTTATTTTAGTGTGCTGTCATACCATTTTTCGATTAATTATGCATAATGTATAAAATGAACTCTAATTTCAAAATTTTGATGAAGTTTTGGGTTTTTGATTAAGAATTTGTGCATATTTCTTGACTAATAAGTTGTATTATTGGTTTTTTTTTTTTTAGAATTTAGGTGAGCTGTTGGCTTTGATCTTGGAATTGTTCATGTATAGCAGTAAATTCTGGAATTTTCTTTTTTTATTCGTTGATTTGGAGAAAAGAGTGGAAATTTTGAAGTGGCTGATTTCATTTTATACCCATTTTAAGATTTCTTGATCTAGGAATTACTGGTTAACTATTGAATTGGAAGTTAGAGAATATGGATGATTGACAAAACTGAGATAGCTAATTAGCTGATCAATTGCAGTAAATTATGTGTTGTTTGCCTTAAGATCCTTAAGATCTAGTTGTATAGAAACGAGTCGTGAATCGCGCCTCCGTGTAGAATGTAGGGAATTTCTGAACAATTATTGGCATTGGTCTGAAGATTAGAATGGGTGTTTAGATTTTGGAAGGTTTTTGAAACATTGTTGCCTGTTTAAGAGATCGAGTAGCATTATTACTTAGATTATGGTTCACAGCCCTGATTAGGAGCAATGTATTTGGGGTGAACTGATTGCCCATGAAATCCTTGAAAGTACTAGAATGGATGTATGGTCTTTTTCTTGCCTGTGTGGATCACCTCCACAAGTTATGTTTGATTGGATCGGTCGGGGTTGTGATGTGGTTCTTGCTATTTTGAATGTGCAAGTGTATTTATGGGGGCATTTGGGGGAAGGGTAGGCATAATTCCTAGGGGTTTCTTGAGGTAAATATGGTTCTATACGATCATTTGAAGCCATTTCGCTTATTTCTGTAAAGGAGGAAGATACCTCTATGGGAGTTCATCGGGGTAGCAGGAAGAGCTGCATATATGGTTAATTTATTGGAACATTTGGCTCAATGTTCTCATTCTAGGTGTGTATACTTATCAATGTTATTATTAGAGAGGGAATTATGACTTTTACGAGGAAGCTTTGAAGTTATGATTGCAAATCTTCTTGTCATTGGATGTATTTTCTAGCATTAGTGTACGAGGTTTTTGTTTGGATCCAGTGCTTTAAGTAATTTTTCTAAAACTACTTCAGGATATAATGTGGATTTAAAAAGCATTCATAAAGAACAATCTGAATCTGATAGCAGTGAGGAAAGTCAAGGGACATAGTTGCAGAACAGAAATGGAAAAACAAAGGATGGTTAAGGACTCTTGGATACTTAGGAATTAGGATCACAAAGGATTTTAATTCACTGGATTATCCTCAAAGGATGAAGATATGTTTTTTTTTTTTTTTTTTGTGTGTGTGTGTGTGTGTGTGCAAAGATGTGTAGTTAACTTAATCCAAGGCGCCTTGCTCTTGAACTTGATAGTCAGTATATCTTCCATAGAGCCTTGAGAAGTTAGGAATCAACTTTGAAATTAGGGGTGTGAGTGAATGGAACCCCGTTTCTGTGGTGGGAGTTTGAAGGAGATATTAAGTATTGGTTACTGGGATGGGAGTTTGGAACCAAATAAGTTGTATGAGTGTGGTTGATCCCAAGTGATACGGGCATTTGGCCGTATGCCCTCTAAGGCCTTTCATCTTTTTCTCACTCTCCACTTCTTTAAGTAGTTCCTTGAGCACTTTATAATTTATAAGCCTAGTGTCAAACTCCTGCATCATATTAGTGTCCCTCTTAGATCTTCCAATTACAATGAAATAGAAGTATTGATACATATGAGCTGGACTGTAATATGAGTATATTCCTTTATACAGCACAGAATTTCGCTTTGCTGACTATAATTTTGCAAGAGTAATTTTGTGGCTTGTATGTCTGCAATGTTGAAGCTGTACTGTAATACCTCATATGTTAGTGCAATAAAGATGTGATGAATGGTCTATATATGTTTGAAACTAGGTTGGTTTTTGTGACATGGGAAAAACCTAATTAAGTTTCCTAGACTAAAACTTGGATTCGAGTATGTTGATAGTGAGGCTGATAAGCTTTAGAAATACAAACACAATTGTGATGACTTAAAGCTCAGAACTATAGAAGAAAATTGGATTTTCAGGTTTAAAAGATTTCTTTGATCATTTGATGATATCTGTGTCAATTATCTTTACTGTGATCTAGTGTAACTTTTTTGGTAAGTTTAAACTTGATGCCTCATAAGGCTTAATCTATGATTTGGGCTGTGTTGTTTCGTTTTTTTCGATATCATTGCAGACTTTAAACTGGAATAAAAATTAAGCTTACTTTTCAGGTTTGATCATCTTTCCTAAATGGCATCAGCAGCCTCTATAGCCTTTATGTCATATTCAGATTGCTGCCAGGGTATCCAGCTACAAAAGGGCAGATTTCCAATTGCATATGAAAGTCAGGGAGCATCTCTACTGCCAGCCTTGTCTTTCCTGTCTCTACACCATCGAAATCACCAGCGAAATCACATAGGGCTTCTCAGAGCTACACGACGCCCTCCGGTAGTCTGTGCACGCCACCCCAAGAGTAAGTACTTACCCCACATATCTCTCATCTACAGCTATGTTTTCCTATATCATCCTTATTTCAACTACAAGTTAAAGCTTTTAGCTACTCCCTGTGCCCCACATAGATGCCTCAGTTACCTTTTTACGGTTTTCCAAGGTCAAAGTTAGCCATCAATCAATCAAAGCCTTAATCCCATAAGTGGGGTCGGCTACATGAACCAAAAATGATCAAGTTAGCCGTTGCTGTAATTTTATCTTTGAAAGTGTACTTTTCAGAGTTAATGCTATCAATACAACATACGTTGTATTTAGCAAATCAATGGTTAGAATTACCAAACTTGGACTAAAATTAGGCAGCTGATGAGGACTAAGGACATTTATCTGATGGTTAGAATATTAGGTTGGGCTTGCAGTACCATAGTGGGCTTATCTGAGCTAAGTGTAATATTGGAAACGATGAATTGTTGTTCATTAGGGACCTGCTGCAAAATAAAATCTGGTCACAGTATATTTATATTTATCACACATTCACACCCTTAATTCAAAGGAATTTTAGCTGTGAGCTGTAAGGTCTTAGTATCGTCTGTGCTTCTGGCTATGCCTGTGTTTGGAGTTTTTGGCCCTTGGAAGAATCAGGAAACCTGCTGTAGTCTTATATCAAGATATGTCAATCTTAGTTCTTAGGTGCCTCTTAGACAGGAGCCACGGGCAACAATTGTTTGTTCTTCTTGAGCAGTTCGGCTCTGGGCATGCAGGGCAATGTTATGTAGATTAGTGATGATTGATTGATTGATGCTTTGAAACTTCAATACAAAAGCAGAAAGTGATATTGGAAATGGCAGCTGCTGGGGCCTGGCAAAACTGACCTGACCCATTTCTGAAACTGGATGACTTGGTATTGGCATGACTCGAAATTGAGCCGACTTGAAATCAATTTATTCATACTAAGCTAGCTGTCCACAAACCCAAAAGTGACCTAGTTTGACATTTCGACCCCAAAATGAATGCTTGCTTAGCCATCTTGAATGGAGTTAATAGGTACCTGAATTAAACGACCCATTTTGAAGATAAAGCCTCGAGAAGATCCTACTACATTTGGTTTCGAGTGAGTATTCTGAGTAATTAACTGAAAGTACATGCACAGATTAACATAAATGTTGCTTTTCGCACATTATTCCAACTAAAGACTTACTGGTTGTGCCATGTCAAGAAAGCCTCTTTGACTGACTTCAGCTCTTAGGCCTTGTTTGAGAGCTTCATTTTCATGAGTTTCTCTACTTAACTGTAAGTGGGCTAAGGTTTGTCAGCAAGTGTTAAGATTGGAAATATAGTAATATTGAAGTTGAACTCGATTTTAAAATTGACAGACGTAAATTGGTAGAATGGTAGGCATCCAATGGACAATTTCATGGTTTGCCATGCTGAATATTTTATTTGCACCTTTGCTTTTAATGGTTTAAATGTAACTTTTGAACTTCTCGTAAAGCTGTAATGTTTAAAAGGATGTGGAGTTTGGCAGTTTGCTGCATTGTATGCTGTGAAGCTCAATAGCTCATGCAAGACCCCAGACTTGTTGCAAATACACTGATGTGGTTGACATTTCACGTTTGTTCATTCGAATGTATGTGGTGCAGCTGCAACAGTAACACAGAAGTCATGGGACAAACTGGTTTTGAAAAATGAATCTCCTGTTCTTGTTGAGTTCTACGCGAGTTGGTGCGGGCCCTGTCAGATGGTTCACCGAGTTATCGATGAAATTGCTGTGGAATACAAGGGGAGACTCGATTGCTTTGTACTCAACACGGACAATGATTTGGAAATCGCAGAAGAACATGATATTAAAGCTGTTCCAGTTGTGCTTCTGTTCAAAAATGGAATGAAACAAGATAGTGTCATCGGCACCATGCCAAAGGAATTCTACATGGCTGCCATTGAGAAAATGTTGGCTTCTTAACTTCTGAAGAAAATGTGAACATCCTTTTGGTGATGTTCATGAAATTATAGGCATTAACCTGTATACAATAGGTGTGCTGTATTTTGTATACAACACGCATAAAATCGTATAGAAGTCAACTTTGCAAAGGGGTGATTTTTATATGATTTGGAGTGAGCAGTGACCAAGATTGTAGTATATTATACACCCATAGTATACAAGACTTGTTCATACGAGTGTGGCGATGTGGGATCAAAGTTGTCAATTTGTTCATGCCCGATTGGGCCAAGTCCTTCATATTGTGAATAATTTTTTTATTTTTTAATGGAAGTAGACTGTATAAATTTGTTCCTTCATATATTAAATATATTTGTTTAATTTTTTTTTTTGTGAAAAATAAGTTGTAAATCACCCTCCCACAATTACTTGCATATTATAATCGATTGGTAGGATTATTATCTGCGTATTGATTAAAGGTGAGATTAATAGAATTAATTTTTTTATGTTTCCTGAATCAAATTTTTTTAGGAGAATTGAATCTTATGGTAGTTATAATTTATAAATATCTAAAAGACTTAAAGTAGCTTAATACCCTAAGGTAGTTATGAATATCTAAAAGCCTAAAAGTACTTTAATTACCCAAAGGTAGAAATCATTTGTTTTGTCAAAAAAAATAAAAAAATAAAAAATAAAAAAATAAATAATAATAAAAATCATTTGTTGGGCAATCAACATTATCTGCTCTTTTGCCATTAAATTAAATTTCTTTTTGTCCTAGATAGGTCACAAAAACACCAATTTAAATTTTATGATATAAGTTTTGTTTAATTTAGAAGGTACATTTTTAATGGAAAAGTTCTAAAAACATGAGTGTATTATGAATAATATAATGACATAAAAAGAAAAGCTACCTTTCCATTATTATAACTTCCAATTATCTTGATGCTAATTAGCCATTAAATTATCTTTAAAAATAATTAATTAAAAACTAGCCATTGAATTATCTTCTAGATATCTGCATACCATCCTGGCAACATACTGGATTACTACGTGAGTACGTGGTAACGTAGATATAATTATGCGCTGAATCTTATATTAAGAATTTTTTTTTTTTATTAATTTTTTATTGTTAACTTGCTAGCTAATTGAATATTCAATAGTTAATTTTGTGTTTTGTCCATCTTTTTCCAACAAGACCTTTACTATATTAGAACGGCCAATTCTTGACGTCAGTAGCTGTTTTGGTGGATCAAGATTTTTGACTATTCAGAAATTTGTAGAAAATCAAGTATTAAGATATCATGTGGATCACTAATTAATTTGACCTAAAACGACATTATTTCATACGGCACACATTAAAACACACTTATAAGAGTAATAACATAACGACGTGATGGGCTATAGTCATTGTTTTAATGTCCTCGTTTTGATATAATTAAGTCGAGCTATTAAAAACAAATCACTTAATTTCAAACACAAAAAAAAAATAAAAAAAAAAAATTTACTTTAGATACTTTAGCTATAAGGTGTTTGAAATTTATTTTTACTCGAATAAGAACATAATATCCCTTCCATTTTATTTTAAATGTTACATTTACCAAAAACGACGTTTTTCTTAAGTGTAATAATTTAATCATATGGTCGGAGTACTTTGTACCTCCTCTCTTCCTTTGTGCCATTTTTGAAAATTCTCAACTAATAAGGACTATATAAGGAGTAGTACTTTTTTTTTTTTTTTTGCTTCAAACAAAAAATATAAGGGCCATGTTTAACTAAATCCATGAATATCTCAATATGTCTTAAATCTTTTTGTATTGTAGCTAGTCCAACTGTCCAAGTATGGCTTAAACTTAGGTCAGCGCAATAAATACAGTGGGAGACTGGGAGTACTATATATTTTGTTGACTTTTCAGTCAAAAATGGGATTAATATACTATTGATTGTTGACTGTTAAGTGTTAATAATCCTACAATTCACCATCGTTCATAAAATTGTGTACCCCTTTACACCAATATTACGCCATGTCATCATTTAACAATCTCTATCATTATGCTACATCATCATCAGTCAATGATCCAAATAAAAAATGCATGTAAAGAGATTCGAACCCAAACGTCATCTAATGAAAACCACATGCATTACCACATTAGCTAAAATTAAATTATAATCTATTAATCCACATTTATGTATAAATACATGCAGTACAAGTATAATAATGTAGAATAATAACAAAAAAAAAATCCAAAATGAGTTATTTTTGTTGTCATTGTATTCTAATTTACCACGTAAAAAAATTTATTAAGTCTTTTGAAGCGTCTAATATAAAAATGAAATTATTCAAAGTATCACCCGAGGCAAAGCCTGAGCCACACCCTAGTTCCAAATTAATTGTCGTATTTTTTTTTCGAAATTATCTCAATTGTAAGTTGTGACATAATAATTTTTATTATTTTTTCTCTTAACCATTTCTTTTAAAATGGTGGAAATAGCAATCAAATATCTTGTCATTTTTTTTCTATCTACCTTTTCATTTAGCATTGCTTAAAATTCATGTCAAAATAATTTGTAGAAATTAAGGTAGGACGCATGATTTATCAGTTCATCAATCAGGTAGAAAATTATAAATAGATAAATTAATTTTCAGCATGATTCTAATCAATAATCAATTAAAAAAATTACGTGATGATGTTTGTTTCAAGGTCTTTGACTTTGTCGTCGTCCTAATTTTCCTACTTTCTTTCGGTAAGGTTGATCAGCAATGTTGCATGTTGTATTGTTGTTAATATACTTCAAATTGGAAAGTTTTACCTAAATAGCATTAATAGATGTAGAATCCTGCCAAAGTACTTAGTACGTGGGAGTATGTTACAATACTGAATATTTCTATGAAAGTATTGGGTGAATTCGCTCCACCATGATAATCATACTATAATAGTACGAGTCTTACTACATTATTTGACCAATGCAAATATCATCGAACGGCTGTTCGTCCATCATCATTGCCTCTATACAAACCCGCGCACCTAGTCCTAAGCTTGTAAAGAGTCAGATTCGTAACACAATTTATTTTTTCTACGAACACTACAAAAAGCAGTCGAGCTAGCTAAATACGTTAAAAATGACAATAGAACGTAATACGGAGTAATAGTACTTTGGTAGTTTAGATGTGATGGAATCATAGAAAATCCGATCAGTTTGTTTGTATTAAGTAATTTGAAAGCAATGATTCATAAAGAATACACATTATGCAACTTGTCATCAATAATTTTTTTATTTTTAATTTTATAAATTATTAGTTTATTACATAATGACTAGAAAAACAAATCGTGTGTCTCTAATCTATTATGGAGCACACCTTACTTGACCTCTCCAAATATTCTTTGTGTATAAAATCTATTACGGAATCTATTAACTAATACTAAAATAAAATGTTGTCGACGTCATCACTATCATCACACATTCTCATAATAAAAAAATTTCCCGCCTAAATACAAGGATGATATCAGTTTTTTTTTTTTTTTTTTTTTTGTTTTTTTTTTTTTTTTTTGTTTTTTGTTTTTTTTGTATGTGTGGAGCTACCATATTTTACAATTTTGAAATTTGAATATTAGAACCTTTTACATTACAACTAAAACCTATCAATTTATCCAAAAAAATATAACAATTGTAAATAATACACTAATAAATAGACTCCTACATTGAAAATGTATTAGACGACATTGAACAAGTATAATATTATAATTTTGATGAAAATCTAAAAATTTTAAAATTACAAATATTTTTGTACAAAGTGCATTTATATTTATCCTTTTTTTTAAAAAAATGTACAAATTATAAAAATAGATTTTATATAAACCGTGCATCGCACGGGTTCTAACCTATTTACTATTCTTAAAACAAAATATTGCTAAGATCATCAACTCTCAAACTATCCTACATGTCATTCTCACATTAAAAAAATTTCCTCCAATTCTATGTGTGCTGTCATTAATTATTAATGATTTTTTTAATTTTTATTTTTAATCAAGACTTTTGATTTCAATGCATAATAAGTGTTTATATAAAATTCAATTAACCAAGTTTCTCTCCTAAGTTATATTTCACATACCTAATTTGTTTGATGTTTGATCGTGATTTTAATTTATTTATTTATTTTTTTTTACTTTTCTTAAATGTAAATTATTTTTATATCTAATTTTAATCTTCATATACATTGTAATACAACTGAATATAAATTACAATAAAGATTAATTCTAACACAGGATAACCTAGTTTGAGAAAATAAAAGAAAAACTATAAAATGCATATATAGCGAAAGGTTTTAGATTAAAGTATTTAATAAACAATCTTTCTCATACCTCGTAATTATTGTTTCATTAAACTTACAAGTGCCCATATAATTTCGTTACTTTGTAATTGACTAATTAGACTTTAGACTGTCAAAATCTCATATTAATGTACCATTATAATAAATGTTTCACCAGCTTGCTGCTACCTGCCGTAATTTGAATAATCAAAGTCTAGTTATGCACGGTTTTACCGGCAAATTGGCAACCGTTTGAACAATAGTTGTTCTAAGCATGTGCAGGATGGGTGATTGCACAGGATCCTAAGTAAACGGGTCTCAAAAATTTGCTATTTAGCTATACAAAGTATATTTATTTCTAGAGACAACTTATTGATCAATGATTTAATCTTAAGTTTCATTGTAAAATTAATAATTAAGTAAAGTATATTTTTCTTAATTTAAAAAAAAAATCATACGAATATATTTAAACCAATATTTTTGGGCCCTAAATTTACAAAGTTGCACTGGGTTATTGTCATTGCGACCAACCTCAGGACTTGAACATGTTATCAACATGGATCGGAGTCACCGGACCAACTTATTTCATCATGTATAAGTATAACACATATGAGTTGTTCCACAATATTTATATGAAGTTTATCAGCTTACAAGTTTGATGAGTTATTCTTTACATATAATTAATCAATTTGTGATAGGATGAAATCCTATTCTCCTAATCAATTAATTAAGAATATGATATGATATGCATTTACAACTTTTAGTAACATGCAATATACTTCGAATTTGGGAACATGCCTCCGTCCCAATAGAAAAATTGCAAGTTGATCATTATAATTTATAAGTACATAAATAATACAAACATTCAAGTTAAGTTTAAATGAAACTAAATACTTAGTACGTATTAAGTTATCCTTTATTTTATGCAGTCGTGAATATATTTTTAAAATTCAAATTCAATATCTTGGTCCTCTTATAATATCTAACTTGCGAATACTTTGTAATATTTTATTTTTCTACATCAAAAATAATTGAATTTATATATAATATAGACGATATTCAATTTAATGCATGTTGTAATTATAAAACATCCAAGCAAGCGTTGGTACATACTTGTATAATCGTATAAAGTTATAAGATTGTGTACTCCGTAATAAATTTAATTTTAAGCATGGCTTACAACAAAAACTTGTCAAATTGAAGCATAAACAGCATTATAGGACCGAAAGATTCAGAGATAGTAGATCAATGTGCATGTGACCAATCTATACAGAATCTTAGGACAAATACAAACAAGTTATGCTTAGATATTAGTATAAATGACAACTTTTAACTTTATTAAGCATCGAATTAATTATACTAAATGGAGTAATTTTAGTAAGATGAAAGCAAGTCATACAAGGCACAAAGATTAAATTAACCTAATATTGAATTAGTATTGGCGTAATTGACACAGAATTCAGTGAATTATATATCACCCTTATTAAACATGTTGTTGCAGGTCACCTAATAAGGTTTAAAGTCCCTAGAGATGCAATTTGTCATATATAGGGGTGGTTTTTCTATACACTCGTGCTCATGTTGTTTCTCTATATAAGTGTTCGAGTTAGCTAATGCAAATTACACTCGAGTGTAAGATAAAAAAAAAAAAGAAAAAAAAAAGAAAAAAAAAATCTTATCTAAAGAAGCTTTGGCTATGCTAAGTAATACATAACCGTACTTCGTATCATTTTTTTATATGAGTAAATGAGATCTAATTTTGTTGACCTTATTAACATTTGTCTTATAATAATAAGTCTAGATAAAAGTTTATAGGTTTTAATTAGTTCGGCCGAGATAAGTAAATCCGGATAAAGAGTTCATCTTAAAAGTGCTAATAAATTCAACAATTCAACAAATTAAATTAGTAAAGTTAAAAAACAAAAAAACAAAAAATGTAAGCTAAGCATCAAGTTCAAATTATAGCTAAAATAGATTTTAATATAATTATTGTTAAAGGAACAATTTAACCAAATGCTTAAGATGATGGTTAAGACTAAGGAATATGTTTTATACTCTATCTCACAATCAAGCCCCCTCACACAAGAACCCGTTAGGCTTGAAGTGTGGAAGCAGCATGGACCCTTCTCATACCGACCCATCGCTTAATATTCAACTTGAAAGTAAGGGGTGAATGAGATTTGAACCTATGACCTTTGTATCACGCTGGCTCCGATACCATGTTAAAAGACAACTTAACTAAAAGATTAAACTGATGTTTGAGCCCTGGAAATATGTTTTATACTCTATCAATTATAAGGAAAATTTATCAGAAACAACCTTTTAAATTTTTTTTTGTAACTTCAGACCACATTATAAATTTTTTTTGTCAAAGGCAACCTAATGCTACTTTCCGACGTTGACTCTATTTTTTCCGGTGTTGACCACGAGTATGCAAGGCACGTGACCTCTTATATTGCTAAATACACCCCTTTTTCCTCCAATTAACTCTAATTAAAACCTCTACTTCTCTCTCATTCCTCTTTTTCGATCAATAGGAAAAAAATTTAGGGTAAATTCCTCTAAAACTAAATAGAGTCAACACCGGAAAAATAAGGGAAAAGTAGCTATAGGTTGTCTTTGACAAAAAAAAATTATAATGTTGTCTGAAGTTACAAAAAAAATAAAATTAAAAGGTTGTTTAAATAAAGTGGATGCTTTAAAAGGTTGTTTCTGACAAATTTTCCACCAATTATAATATTAATTGAGTTGAATTTTCAAAAACAAATGTTGTTAATAGAATGAAAATTTGCTGTCATGTACCCATCATTATACCATTTTATAATCATAAAAACAGCCATTTTCCGAAAATTATTACACAAATTTTGTAATTGAAACCAATGGTCAACTTGCATTAGGTTAATAATTCAAATATCTTAATTATAATAGACTCTTGCATTGTCACAAGTCTCACAACTCATCAGTGAGTCACTGACATGTCCTAATAGCGTAATGGTTCATCAATTTAAGTTATAGTTGGACCATTTGGTCTTAGCTAGCTTAGTTATGATGTAAGCAAAACCAAGTGGTCTACTTAATAATTTATTCTATTTAAGTGAACTTTCCTCAAACTTTCTCTTATACAATTTCAACCAAAAAAAAAATACTCTTTCTGTCTTACGTTTTCTCTCTCTTCTTTCTCATTCTAGTTAATTGGTGAGAAAAATGAAAGACATGATAGAAGGAAGTAAAGTAATAGCTGAGTTTGATCCTATTAAGAAGCCTCCTAAGAGAAACAAGTTTGCATTTGCTTGTGCTACTTTGGCTTCTATGACTTCTGTGTTACTTGGCTATGGTAATCATTTTTCTTTCTTTCTTCTTTACTTTTTCTGTTTTCTTTTAAATAAACGATGGTAATAATGTCCATAATGTGTTCTCGTCAAAATAATGGACTAGTCCGGTTTTTGAATTATGTAATACCACGTAATAGGCTCTCTTAAGCGGCCTTATAATTTAAAGGTATAATTTGGAAATGATGTTCATCCTAAATATTGAAATAACCAATTAGAAAGTAATCTCAAAATTAAAGAAGCTACGAAGTATTTAAATTTCTTCATTTGATATAATCTTCGATATCACCTTCAGAAATGCACTAAAAACAAAGAAGACAACATTTTGTATATTATCCTAACATATTATAGTGTTATTTTTTTCGTGTCGAATATTTTATTGTTATTAATTAACTAAAAATGTGAGTAACTTTTGGATGAAATCATTTATGCATTCACACTAACTTTATGAAGATATTATAGTCTTCATCCTTAAAAACGTTAAAATACTTTTACTTTTAAAAGCTCATATAAAATTGTAAAGTTTAACCAACTAAACTACTCTAGTTGTCATCCACGATCGACAATTATAACTGTTTATGATAATTGATATTACAAGATTCCGACAATATATATGGTCAATAACTGCATATTGATAATGATATTATGGTCTAGCTTGTATACCATACATACAATGAACAAGGTTTGATATTTCAAAGTGGATATGATATATTAATGAAGTGTGGACCGTCTGTTTCCTGATTTCTTGCTAGTTAGTCCTACTTACTACGGAGTACTTACTATACAAAATACGACTACTCAATTATTTTATAAGATAAATAAAATAAAATTTATTAAGGGTTGCACGTAGTATTCACAACTTGGTTGATATTTTGAGTTTGCCCATTACTTCATGATTTTATGAGATCTTCCTCAATTTGACCCTTTCTTGCAAATATATAATAGTAATTATAATCCCCCAAGGCCCCAACTTGATGGAGTAGTATAAGCTTACTAAAAACAAAAAGCATTACAATTTTCATTATAAAAGTAAAAAGTTACCTTTGTCTATATTAAAATTATTACTCGTATATAATTTGCTTCTTTATCCTTATAACTTTACACATCAATATTTCTAAATATTAAATTATTTCTAAGCACGCACTCTTTATGCTTATTTTCATTAATTCAATTTCTTCTCAACAATAAGTTTTAAAAGGAGGAGTGTCGATATCCCTCTAAAAAAAATTAATTGTATAAGTTTCAATATGTAAAAATAAATTTAGATTAATAAGAAGAATTAGTTAATGGATACAATTACTCAATCCGAGTTTTCCTTTATGTATATCATATCATCGATGGAGAAGAATGGAACGTAAATATATATATGGTCTAATAAATTATTATTGAAGTTCTAGGTATATATCTTGAATAATTTAGCAATTTGAATTTTACATCACCTTCAATTATATATATACTTTCTCCGCTCTCTTTTAATGCTGGTGCTATTACTTAGCTTACTACTCATTCAATTTACCATTTGTTTTAATTAATTAACAACTAATAAATCTCTCATTTTGCATGAATTACTTCCTACAAAGACATTGGAGTAATGAGTGGAGCAGCACTCTACATCCAAAAAGACTGGAAAATAACCGACGTACAAATTGAAGTCCTTATAGGAACCTTAAACATCTACTGCCTCTTCGGCTCCTTCGCCGCGGGGCGAACCTCCGACTACATAGGCCGTCGATACACCATCGTCTTCGCCGGTGTAATCTTCTTCGCCGGTGCCCTACTAATGGGATTCGCCACTAACTACGCCTTCCTTATGGTAGGCCGGTTCGTGGCCGGCATTGGGGTTGGTTATGCACTTATGATTGCACCTGTTTACACTGCCGAGGTTTCTCCTGCTTCTTGTAGAGGGTTTCTTACTTCTTTTCCTGAGGTGTTTATTAATGGTGGCATTTTGCTTGGATATGTTTCCAACCTCGCCTTTGCTAATCTTCCTACTCATTTGAGCTGGAGGTTTATGCTTGGGATCGGGGCGGTCCCGAGTATTTTCTTGGCTGTTGGTGTGCTTGCTATGCCTGAGTCGCCGAGGTGGCTTGTTATGCAAGGTAGGCTTGGTGAGGCTAAGAAGGTGCTCGACCGTACTTCGGACTCACCTGAAGAGGCTCAACTAAGGCTCAGGTAAATATGTATTTGTTTTAATTTTAATTAAAAAGTCAAACGTCACATATATTTTGTATGTCACATTTGATTTTAATGGTCGTATCTACTATTAAAAAATATTTTGTCACTAACATTGATCTCTAGCGTTTTATTAAATGTAATCTGGCCTATTTTTTAAAGTAACTCGCTTATTAAAAGTGAATAATTAATTTTAAATCATTGAATTTAGTTTTTATTTTTACAAGTAGTAAGAATATATTTTTTCCGTATTTATAATAATTTTTTGTTTGTAATTCAGTGAAATCAAGGAGGCAGCAGGGATCCCAGCAGAGTGTGACCAAGACATTGTTACGGTAGATAAGTCAAAGGACAATTCTGGTCAAGGAGTATGGAAAGAGCTCTTGATTCATGCCACGCCGGCGGTGAGGCGCGTGTTAATTGCCGGTGTCGGAATCCATTTCTTCCAGCAAGCGTCAGGCATAGACGCCGTCGTGTTGTACAGCCCAAGGATCTTTGCTAAGGCTGGAATTACAAGTGATATTAACAAGTTACGTGCTACTGTAGCAGTTGGAGTTGTTAAGACCTTATTCATATTGGTTGCAACATTTATGTTAGACAAGTACGGAAGAAGGCCTTTACTATTGACTAGTGTTGGGGGTATGGTCTTGTCCCTATTAACCTTAGCCGGGTCTTTAACCGTTATTGACAGCTTACACGAAAAAATTACATGGGCTATAGCTTTGTGTATAACCATGGTTTGTGCCTTTGTCGCGTCGTTTTCGATTGGGTTAGGCCCAATTACATGGGTCTATAGCTCAGAGATTTTCCCCCTGAGGTTAAGGGCTCAAGGTACAAGTATGGGTGTGGCTGTTAATAGGGTTGTGAGTGGTGTAATTTCAATGACATTCTTGTCCTTGACCAAGGCAATTACGACAGGTGGCGCGTTCTTCCTTTTCGGAGGGATTGCTACAATTGCTTGGCTATTCTTTTTCACGTTTCTACCTGAGACTCAAGGGCGTACACTTGAAGATATGCATGTGTTGTTTGAGGGCTTTAGTTGGAGAGACTCATTGCATGGTAAGAAGTCATCAGACGATGAAAGTACCACACAAGATGAGAATAGCAAGAGTCAATTACAAATGGGAGCGACTACTACTAAATCGGCTAACAGTCAATAAAATTAGGTTTTAGTTTTACGAGAAAGTATACAAGTATAGTTGAAGTAATTAAGAGTATCTCATGTAACAACCTTTTCGGCTCTATTGAGTAATTAGTCTTAGTTTTCATTATGCTCCAAAAATGCATGTAGTTAATGCTATTATGTATACAAAAATTGTGTCAAAAGCATACACTTTTCAAGAGTATGATTCTCTATGCTACCAAGAGCACATGTATTGTATTTGGAAAACTAGTTGTAATATGAAATGGGGCCAAAAGGTCACAAAGCAAAAATGCATTATTGTGATATTCTGTACACTTATAGTCTCAATATTATGATTACTCCTTATATTTTGGCATCATGTACGAACTTTGACAATCAATCATTATGATATATCTGATATGTATATAAGAAAAGTAGAGCTATATTTAAACTTGTTAAATTCGTTTCATTATGTATTTAAAATGAACTTTTTATAATTTCTAATAAATATATAATTAGAGATATTAATGATTTAAAATGAATGGAGTATTATATTCCAAGTTTTGACTGTTTACTCATGAATTTGTTTTGGCTAGGAAGACTAAGAAGTGAAGGATGATGGCTGTAGCCAGCTGTGAAGTCTGACTGCATGAGCCAAGAAGATTCACTGATGCAATAATAATGATATTGCGGTTAATATATACTACCTCCGTATTTTTAGTTGACACCTTTCTCTTTTCACGCTTGTCAATGCACTATTTTAACGTTTAATATCTCTAAATCACGACATTGTAAAATTATAAGAAGTGGATTTTAATAAAATATACATTGAGACGATTCAAACAAGATCCCACTTAACTATGTTTTATCATAGCTATAATTCACAAAAGGTAGTCAAAGTATAGTTAGTGAATAGTGTAAAAGTCAAATGATGTCAACTAAAAAAACGGAGGAAGTAGAATAATGGTAGTTGATACAGTAGATGACAAAAATAGGAGCAATTTTAAAGTAAACAACTCCAATAATTGAGGATGAAATTTGCATCATGAATTGACTCCATTTGCCCATATCATCATCGTAGCGATGCGTTTTGGTGTAGCCATGTACTTCCTCCGTCCCTATCTTATTGCCCCATTTGACAATACACGGTCTCCAAGACGCGTTTTAAAACGTCTATATCTTTATGTTCATATATGTGAAAATTATAAAAACGTGATATTAATAAAATATAGAATGAGATAAATCTAACAAGACCACTCATGACTATATTATCGTTTATAGATTAACGGTAATTTATGGTCAAAGTTTTCAAAGTTTGACCCAACAAATGGCAATGGGGCAAAAATAAAGGGAAAGAGGGAGCAGTAGTCGGTGTATGCACATTGCACATGGGGCTCCCCTCTCAATTATTTATTTTTATTTTCATTTTCAATTTTATTTATTTATTATTCATTAATTTATTTATTTTTGGTCTCTTACTAGGTCATCATCACTCATAAAGTCATAAGCCATGTATTATTATTATTACTATTATTAAAAGCAATTGGAATCGGAGGATTTCAAATTACTAGGTATCTTCCTACTTGGGTTGATGCATAATAAATTACTATCATGAGCTGTTCAACTTAAAAATAGATTTGGTCGATAAAATCATTTGATTAATGTAAACTTCTCGTAGAATTGAATTTTTATAAATACATTGTTGATATTTCTAGCTATATGCATCAAGAAGAATTAACATATGTTTTGAATTTTGACATTTTTTATATACTTGATTATGCTTCGATTCAAAGTGAAGCGTTAGGTTATCAATTGTTCACGTTTTTAGCTATTTGTCAGATTACCTTCTCAAATTACTTTTAAAGTTGCTTTTTTATCGACATTTTGTGAGTAATAAAAAAAAAAAGTTTAGATATCGATCTTGAACCAATTGTTAACTATGGATTTTTGGCATCCAAAAGTTGACATAATATACACTTCGTGTGTAGGGATTTAAATGAATTGATAGTTCACGAATTACTTGCGAACAAGTTTAGTCAAAACTCGTTTTTTTTAAGTTGATAAACAAGCATGAACAACAATTTTAAATTTGTTAAGTAAATGAGTAAAGCTTGTACATCATTACGTTCGACTAGATAATGCTTGTGAACAAATCGTTTAAGTTTGTTATGAGCTTGTTCATGTCTAGTCATGACTTGGTTGAAGCTCGTTTAAGCTCAAACTACTATCAAGGTTTTTTTTGACACCGATCAAGTTATAACTTTTTTAGTATCATTATTTATCCTATACTCGTACATACTTGTGAAAAATAAAAATTATTTGATCCTGTATAGGTAGAAAGACTTGGTCATTAATTTGTTCAATAAATAGATTGAAAAAATCTTTAATATAATTAAATGAATAACTTAAAAGAAATTGTTTATTTAATTAACCCCGTTTAAAGTTCGTTCAAGCTCTAATTTATACTATAAATGCTAATGAGCACGTTCATAAACTAAGCTCGAAGAAGCCAAATCTTAACGAGCCAAACTCGAACAAGATTTATAAAAGCTCGTGATAGCTCGAACTATCAACCTTAACTCAACTCATATCGTTTGTAGCCTTGTTTATGTGGATATTATTGCTAACCATTTTGACGAAACATTAGAATACATTGCATTCAATCAAACATTGTTTAGGGAAAGATATGGCAGGCCAAAGTTGAAGATAATAAGGACATCCCAAATTATTTGGGCTTTTTAAAAAAGTTATTATTTGATGACAAAAAACTTAAAAAAGTCTTGCCACGAGGAAAGAACAAGAGAAAATGGACAAGCTCATAAAGAAAAAGTGTGAAAATTATGTGTAATTTTGAGTAGTCATTTTCTAAAGCATGTTATGTGGTTATAGTTGTGTTCTTTGAATATGAAGTTAAGGATTTAATGATTTAGGTTTGATTGTGGTGCAAATGATGAGGGCCTCATCTTTACTTGTGTTAATAACGGTGATCCTTCTGTTTTGGTTGAATACGGATAAACACAAACCGACGGCGTAGTGTGAGCCAGAGACTGGGGAAATGGGGCTTGCCTTTGACATGACCATTATCAAGTACGTAAGCAATATATATGTTCAAAACGGCGGAGAAGCAATGAGAATGCAGAGAATCGGAGTGGTGTGTGCAGGGTGGCTAATGAGTTCTCGCTATGGGTGCTTATGGTGCTATGTCAATGTGGTTATAGGCAATAATATGAACTGCATCACTGTAACAATTCTGCTAATGAGACCGAAACACATTCCCTTACAAAGGGCGTCAATAGCTAAGTTAGAGGATCATAAATGAGCTCAAAAAAAAAACACGGGAAAGGCAAAATCAACAAACTTGTAAGGAGCCAAAATCACACAGCTCAAGTGACAGTAAAATCATTTGAAGTGAAGGAAATTTGGAAAGTCATGTTTGCAAAATTTATGCTATTCCTTTACATACATCCACATTAATCTCACACTAAAAACTTCTATATTTGCTAATTAAACAAACCCCTATTCTCACATTACAATACCTCGAAAAAAAATTGCAGCTATGCCACATTAGGTGACAATGCCTCAATAAATAATATACACCTTTTACCTTAAATATACAGTGGGAGTACTACTTTTCTATACCCTGCTGCAAATATTGTATCAAATCATAGCCTGCAGTTGTCCACTTGTTATAGGCATCGGTACATACACGGATCATGAAATTGGCTGCTTCACGTTCACTCATCTCAGGATGAAATCTCTTCCGTAGATTTCCAATGGGCTCACCCCTGCTGAAGCAAGGTAATCCACTGTCTGCCATCATAGCTACAGTGCTTATAATCCCATCCATATGGCGACGAGCAGCTAGATAGCCCTTAACACACAATCTGTAACAAAAACCATGCATGGTTGGTAATGTTCAGATGATAAATAAATTAGCTAGGAAGATTGTTTTCTTACCCCACAAAAGTATGCCAAGTTTCACTTCTCATAGTCCCTGAAGGATCAAGCAGTTGAGTCATCTCATGACTAAGCTTAAAATGAGCACTCTCAAAGCGCATGTTCCCTCCAGGAGACGTTTCAAGGATGAAACCAAAATCAATGTGGACAAGCCTTCCAGCACTGTAACAACAAAAAACGGAAACTAGCATTAATATTGTTTCTTATGATACACAATAGGCATATATCCGAGCAAAATTAGTCATCACAGTAGTAGCATGAATTATCTCAGCAGCAATCAATAAATCTCCCATAATGAAAATATACCCTATTTGGAAAACAATAAGAGTTCAGACTAGTCCTTAGTTCTCAAAACATAGTTTACTCCAAACATTTAAGATGTCCAAAAATCTGAAAAGTAAAACACTTTCCAGTTTCAAGGCAATAAATTTTAGATTATTACCTTTGGAACCAAGAGGCCTCAGAATCAAAACAATAAATCAGTAAATGAGGAAGCAGGTCATCACTTCAGAACAAAGGTGATATAGGAATAATGGCTTAAGAACTAGTGAACAGACCTGTCAAAAAGTAGGTTCCCGTTATGCCTATCTTTTGGTTGAAGTAGAAGACTGGCCACAGCATAACCAGCACTGCTAACAAGGAAATTCTCCCGAGCAGCCTCAAAACTGGGAGATCCAACTGGCCCATAATCTTGCTGAAATATCTCATACAAGCCCCCATCATTGATTTCACCCATCTGGCTTCTACTCCGCGTATTAGGCACAACCTGCGAGAATTGCGAATTGCAATCATGTTTCAACGAGCAAATCAATTTAATAACTCAAGAAACTCCTAGCAATCAATAAATCAATTTAGACTCTACGTATTGAAAGAAAGAATCTATACCAGTCAAAACTATATAAATTAGAATAAAAGATGCTTAAGCTAACATTGTAACAGCAATATTTTTGCCACCTACTATATGGGAATCCATACAGTAATGTAAAGCACCAGTGCTGACAAGTTTACCTCTATTATTCCTCTCTCAGGACCAGTTGGGAGAACTCCATAGGGGAAAAGATAAAGATTCAGTCCGACTGCCTGGAAAATGTCTTTAAGAAGAGCGATCACTTGTAAAGCAAGAACATCTTGCCGGCAATCATCCCCAACCTAAAATGAAATACCCATTCACAAATTTATCACAAAAGTCCATACAGGCAGAACAAAAAAGCTACAGCAAATAAGACGTCACATATGGCACACAGAAAAGCTGCAAAAGAGAAAACAATGCACTAGATGAATCGAAGGAAGATGAAAACTTACTTATTCCAACATTTTCCAGGGATGATTAGGCATGAACAATTAACCAAATTGATTCAAAAGAGGTCATATTCTACGAGATTGTGCATAGATATAAGTTTTCTTTGACAAA